AAGCGATACCACCAATTGAGTCAGAAACAAAAAAAGATACGACAAGTTGACAAAACAGAGCACAGAACACAGAACCAAACAGAACCAAACAGAACCAAAACAGCACCGAGACGAACACAAAATACACAAAAGTAAATGAGTATATACAATTGTATCTACGAGATACATATGTATCTGTATGCTAGAAGAAAAAGAACCCATCGAAAGGATCGCTGTCTGAATTAGAAATTTACTACTTACGGCATTAGAGGAGGCAACAACAACAACAACAACAAATGGTTTTGGGTGCCAAAGGTGACGGTTGAGGGCTGGCTTGTGTCCATATCAAGATCGTACCACAGATCTTTTGTGGTTGCCACAGACAAAAAGGACAGCAACAAAAAGAGAACAGATCTGCTGAAGGTCATACATGCGAAGAAAATGCTTTAAATTATTGCTGTGCGATTCACCTATAGACAAATTGTTGTCTGAGCAGAGAAATCTCAAGATTTATTTCCGGAAAATGTCAAGGAAACATGTGTGTCTACTTAAAGTGCATCCCATAACATGAGCAGATACTTTTGCTGTGGAATCTTGATTAGTTTCCAGAAATTTCTCGATATTAGTGGCATTCAGTTCTCCTTAAAATAATGGGAATCAAGAAGACTCATCAAATATAATTTAAGGTTTTAATTGCAGCACAAAACAGACTCCATCGACTTGAATCAAGAATATATTGTTGACTTTTGGTTGTTTTTATAGACGGCAATGACTAATATGAGAACTTGGAGGCCATCAAGCTTAAAGTTGTTCCGTCTGGCAAAAGCAGACACTTAAATCTGAATTTGCTTTCAGCCTTTAACTGCTTATAAAGGAATCAGGAATATATATTCTTTAGTTTGTTGGTTAGTAAACTGAATCAAATTAAAAGGAGAAAAGGGATATGATGTATGAGTTGGGCAAAGGTGTACAACTGACAGAAGGAAGCCTGTTGGACTTTATAAAGCATCAGAATATAAGTTATATATTGATATAAGACTGCGACCTACTCGATCTATTGTGCCCCCTTCTGTGCCTATAGCTGCCTCCTCCATCAACCCTAGCGAGAATCTTTGCTGGGTTGAGAGCTTCTATGTCCTAGAAAATTCATAACATGCCTCCTTAGGATGCAGCACCTGTGCATTGAGGAGGACTCTACCTCACTTTCACAAAACCTGCATAGTTTGCCTCGACAAATACCTAGGTGACTTCTTAGTCTACAATCAGTACTGTCAGTAGACCGTTGAGTATCTTAAGCCTGGTTATCATTTGCATAAATCTTTTAAGAAGACATCTGGCTTGTCGGTGCTGATGTCCTGGTGTCCTTGCCCGTCTCTGCCCGGCTCCGTTGCCAATTCATATCGAATATACCCCGGCATATTATTGATCAAATGTAAACATTTGATTTCAAGCCGACTCGACAGTGTGTTCACTGTAACAGACAACACTCATATCAGCACAAATAGGTACTTATGTACACGGTTAAGTGTTTGCTCTCAAAGAGCTGATAATAATCATAATAACAGATTCAGCTTCGCACGTTTCGTAAGTATTGATAAGAATCTGGCTCGGAGACAGTCGCCGTCACCGTCTCAGGTAATCAGCTCTTTATCAGAGACTTGTTTGAGGATTAGCTTAAGGATTAAGCAAGATGTCTGCATTGCTTGAGTTCTTTATTTAAAAAGTCTTCCCGCTTTTGCTGTGACACGTGTCCAAATACAGAAACGCCACGCGCAAAAAAAAAAAAACCGCAAAAAATTTCCATGTCCAAAATATGAAAACAAAACAGAAATATTTAAATAAATTTTGTCAGAGAAGTGTTGGCCAATTCCAATAAGATAAAACAAATAAAAAATAGTTCAAAAAATAGCTCTGCCGACTCATGTCTATCTCTATCTCTATCCCCCCTCTCTCTCTATCTCTCTCTTTCTCTCTTTCTAAACGCGTTGCGATCTATTCAAAAAAATAAAACGCAGACAGTGAAAATATTTGCGAATTGTTGTCGGCTGTTCAATAATAGAAATTCCGTGTTGACATAAATGAGATATCCATCCAGGTTCATAGAATTTTTATTAGGGGAACAATGGGTGACAAACTCCCGATTAAATAATACTGCAAATATTGTCTCCTTATTTCTTATTCTTTTCCATATTCAACGGAATTAGTGTTGCACATGGGGAAATACCACACAGATGTTAATACAGCTTTATACAGGTGCTACGCCCGATCAGTTGAGACTACGGAAAATTGGGTTAAAAAAAAAAGAAACAAAAAATAATAATAAAAAAAAACAAGGTGGAATGTCAAGACGGTTTTTTTTTGGAACGCGTGTGTCGCCTATAACAGAAACGTGTTCCAATATAAACGAAACTAAAACAATATAAACAACAACAATAAGTTTCTAGTATATATCTATGAATTTAAGTATTTATGAAAACAACTATAAATTACAAAATCAAGGAAATTATCAGCGTCAGTCGCGTCAGCAGAATTGAAATGGCGCTAACCGAACAATAAACGAACAATAATAAAAACACGACAACAAAAGTTCAAAAAACAAATATTTTAAATAATATATAAAAAAAAATCAATTCGCAACGAAACGAAAAACATGTGAATTTTCTGTGACGTGGCAGAAAACGAAATTTAATTTTACATTTTATGACGTGCAAATTTTAATTTCCACTTACTTATTTAAAGCTCTTAATTGGAACGGACTTTATTAATAATAATCATATTCGTACATTTTTGCCGTTCAATTTATGTGTGAGTAATCAGCTTAATATATGTATATATATATATATATATATACATATATGTAGACAGTTAAGAACCTTATCAGGCTTGAATTATTGTCAGTGGTGGCCAATATATTTGTCAAAAGTATGTTTTAAGAGATGTGCATATGAAAACAAGTTAGAATGCACCAATCGACGCAGCTCGACTAGTAGATACCCTGCACGTAGCTGTTAAGTAGTTAATAGGCGTGCTGCTGATAGTTTTTTTTTATGTTAAATTATATATATTTATTTAATAAATATAAATGCGATATTTATAAAGCCTATATCTTTGTAGTTGTATCCTTTATTCCTATCTATATATATATAGATATCTCTTATAGTTCTTTTTGTCTGTTTGCTCAACTTCAGTATACCCACTTTAATCTTTAAAATGAATTCGGGGTATAAATATTGAGTAGCATATTTAATAATCATCTACTATGAATAATCTTCTTAAGATCTCTGAACAGACGCATATCAATACAATCTCATTAAATGCAAATATATATATTAAACCTCTCCGATATGTTAGATACGAATAAAGAGTTCATCCAGGTTGCCCAATTGGGCCTACTTTGCTTCAGGAATGGTACAAGAACAGCTGTTTTCGTCGATTGCCTGCTGCGATGGAGCATCGCTGTCAATCCGGAAGAGTTTTCACTCTGAAGGAAGCACACTTCTAGACCTGTTGTGGAAAGTAACAAATAGATCAGGAAGTACATAAAAAAAAAACTTGGAATTTAGCCGGACTTAGCAACGGATTAACATTGAAGTGACTCTCTTCCTGACTGAGCTGGTTATTAATCTGCTACAGAACAGAACCGCCAACAGTACCGCTAAAAGTACCAGCTACTGTACCGGCAACAGTATCGCTAAGAGTAATATTAATAGTACCGTCAACAGTACCGGCAACAGTAACGTTCACAGTACCGTCAACAGTAACGTTCACAGTACCGTCAACAGTACCGTCAACAGTACCGTCAACAGTACCATCAACAGTACCGTCAACAGTACCGCTTACAGCGCTGTCAACAGTACCGCTAAGAGTATCGTTAATAGTACCCCCTCCCAACAGTACCGATTAAAGAGCCCTCATCCATCAGATGTGCCCTTCAGAGCTCTAATATAACCACGAAGCTTCAGCAATGGAAACTGTCCATATTACAAAACCAATATAATATAATAAATATAATATTATAATATATATATCTAATCTGATTCTTCAGGACACACCCATAAACCCAATCTGTCAATGTATTGCCAAAAAACTGATTAAAAAATAAAGCAAAGCAGATATTTTGAGTTTAGTTAAATTAGCTGTCGCTTAACAAGCTGCCGCAGTTGCAGTTGCAGTTGCAGTTGCTTTTCAGCCAAGTTCATAGTGGCGCCGACCTGTTGCCCTGCCCCTCCCCTCCCCTCCCTTCACCTTTAGCAACTTCTCCGCCCCCCTTTGCGTACTGAAAACCGGGCTAGCTGCTAGCAACAAATCGCCAAACTGGTTGCCACCAATTGTCTGCCACAGATAGTTTGCTGCGATTGCAGTTCGAGTTGATGCTGATGTTGATGTTGAGTGGCGTTGTTGCCGCACTTCACTTGGCTGCAAAAGAAAGCTGCAAACTGCAAGCTGCAACAAGCACCCGCTATAAGCAGGGTGCCCAGCCCCTGCCACCGCCACCGCCACCGCCCCCAACCCAAGCTGGCAAAATAGAAAGCCGTTTTGTTTTAATTTTTTTCCACAATTATTTTCCGCTAGCGCAGGAAAAATTATATGCTTTATTTTTGTAATTTTTTTTACCTTTGTTTCTGCGTTTTTTTTTTTGTATTTTTTTGTTTTTGTTTTGCTTACATTTTGGTTACAAATTTCTCACAATTATTTTTGTTTTGTTTTTAAATTACACAATAAAAAAACTTAACATTAAATACAATATGTGTTTTTGTTTGTCGTAATAATAAAAAAATTAATACATGAATTTCTTGTCGTTTATCGTTTTTTGTGTGTTTTGTTTTTGTTTTTGTTTTTAATAAATAGTTTTCGTTTTTTTTAAAGATAAGATACTTTAAGCTGGTATAGATACTTTTGTGTGGGTGTTTGGGTGTTGTGTGTGTGTGTGTGTGTTGTGTTTGTGAGAACATTAAGTTTTCTTTGTTACGTTATTGTTTAATTTTTAAAAATTATATCGCATTGCATTTTAGTTGTTTTATTTTTTTGCTGCTACTTTTAGGTTTCTAATTATTATTATTATTTTTATTTTTGTTTTTATCGCAATTGGAGTTTTACACAGACAAAAAATTTTACAAATTTTTTACGCTTTCACATTTACTGAGATATTTTCTTTTGCCTTAACATTTAAGCAATATTTTTTTGTTTTGTTTTTGTTTTTTTTTTTGTTGTAATTTTAATGTTTTTGTTGTTGTTTGTGTTGTACGCGCTATACATTTAATAATATATAAAAATTTGTTAAAATCCTAAAAATTTGTTGGTTTAATTAAGATTAATAAATAATTTAAAAAAATTTTAATGCAGCAAGCTGCGTCTAACTAAAATTGGATCATTTCAATCCACGTCGTCTACACTTATTACACTCATTGAATGATGATCATTTAAATCGATCGATCATCGCAGCGGAGTTTTTTACAGCTCTTTTTTTAATATAGATGCTTCTCATATTAAACGTACATAATAATATGTTAAATTTTAAATTTATCAAGATCAAGTTTTTTTTGTTTGTTTGTTTTTTGTTTTTGTTTTGTTTGTTTATTACTAGAATAGCATACAATTAAAAAATCTGTTCACATTTAATTTGTATGTGTATGTGTGTATTTGTGTGTGTGTATATATGGGGGTGTGTTAGTGTGTGTGTGTGTGTGTGTGTATTTTATCAACGTTTTTTGCCTGGCCGTACTTGCGAGCGAGCGCACGCAAAAAACTCTTAGCATCTTAAACAGTATCACATATTCATGAGTTGTCGACTGAGCGACCCTCGCAGCGGCCCAGCAACAGCCCAAAAAGAGAGCTGCTCCTGCTGCTGCTGCTGCTGAGGCTTGCGGATCGCCGTCTTTGAATTTCATGGTTTTTTTTTCTTGTTTATTTTTAATGATTTTTGTTTTTGTTTTTTCTTTTTGTATTTGCTTTTTGAAAAGGAGAAACAACTTAAAACACTAGTTATTTGTTTTTTTGTTTTTTCGCTTGCTGTTTTTTGTTTTTTTTTCTTGTATTTTTTCGTTTTTCTTTTTCTTTTGATAGCATCTACTACGCATCTAAGTAAAATGGTGGTGAGAGTCACAATTACAAAAAAACAAAAAATAAAAAAATTTGAATTCCAAAAGAGTTGCGCGTGAGCGAACAACTCCTACTAGTATATTAGTATGAGTGTGTGTATGTGTGTGTGTTTGTATGTGTATTTGTGTAGGTGGGGTGGCTTCGAATACTTGCTTCGTCGTCGCGTTGCGCTCGCAACTAACTACTGCTCTCGACATCACAGGGGGTGTTGGGCGGTGTTAAACGCGCGCTCTTTTTATATATATATATCTATATATATATATATATTTATACATATATATATATATATATATATATGTATGTTTCGCACTCGCTGGGCTCCGTCTGTCTCTCACTCTCTCTCTCTCTTTCTCGATCGCACGCTCTTCGCTTACAACGTTGGCGTCGCTATTGCCTGGCTTGAGCTTGAGCTTGAGCTCGTGCTTGAGCTTGAGCCGAAGCTATAGCTGCGACGAGCGCCCAAACCATCGGCCGAGTAAAGCTTATGCTTCGTTATGGTATACTCTGGACTGATGGTAATGGTGCGTGCCAGACTCTTCATGAACTGTGGCAGCAGTGCTGCCCAGCCGCGATGATCCTGACGGAGTGTCAAATACACTTCGAATGTGGACACCGTATCGGGATCGACTTTGAGTGAGGCGATGCGTCGTGAATTTTGTGGCTCATCCTCGAATTCCACATAGATGGTGCAGCCACGAATGCCGCACGGCTCCTTCTCCGACACACGATTATTTCCGCCGCAATGCTGGGCGTGAGATCACAGGGTAGCGACACTTCGGTGCACGTCAAATGGCGAGCCTTCGCCTCTCGCAGCTGGTCCAGCAGTCGCAGCGAGAGAGCATTCACAGCCGAAGCATCGACGTCGATGCACAGCGACAGCTCCTCGTCGTCCTGTTCGTCGTACGAGATCGCGATCGGATAACGGTTGTTCACGAAGTTGCTGTTGCTGTTCGTGCTGTTGTTGTTGCTCGATTTGGTTTTCTTGCTAATGCTGCTGCTGCTGCTGCTCGTCGTCGGCTGCTTGTGCTTAATACTGTGAGTGTTAGTCTGGCTGCGACTGCTGCTGTTGTTGTTGATGTTGCTGCTGCTGCTGCCAACGGCAACGGCGACCTTCTTGGCCGCAACGGCGGACGACGTGGGCGGTGTCAATGTGCTGGTCCAATCTAAAACAAGCAACAAAACAAAAACTTTTCATAAGTACAACTAGAAAAATAAGAAGCCAAAAAACCACCAATAAACTAAATTAAAAAAAACAACATTGAGCGATTAAGAAAAAAATCGTTGATTTTGCCCATTTGCTTAGTGTTCAACGTTCATTCACACGCACACACACAAACACACTCGCACACAGCGCAACGGCCGCTTGGCAACAAGCAGCGAACGAGATAAAAGCGGAAACAGGCCGTTCGCCAGAGCGAGAGACCGAAAATTAAATGAGTGTGAGCAAGAGAGAGAACTGAGCACAGTGTGCCCAGCAACAAGAAACAAAAAACGGAACAACCAAAAAATATATTTATATTTTTCTTTTTGTATACATTTTGTTTTTGTTCATATAAACTACGTGACTTTGTAACAGATGTTGTTCGTTTTTTTTCGCCTTCAGTTTGCATGTGTAAATTGATTTTTTAATGCATTCAATTTTGTAATCTAGTTGTAAACAATAAAAATCTGATGCAATGTGCCAAGCAATTTTCTAATTGCGAATAAATTAAAAACTAGCTTTGGAATTAGCATTTTGTAAATATTGAAAATTTTATGATTTTTTTCCAAGTTGCCCTTAAATTTGAAAAAGATTTTGAATTCATATTTAAATTTTGAATTGAATACAGGAAATAAATTTTACTCAAGATTTTTTAAATATTCTAGAAACTAAGTTTTTGAATTTTTTTTTTTATATTTTTGGAGAGCTTACCTCGAACTTTGTTGGAGCCGAGGACACCGCCGTAATTTGACTGCACAGCGAGAACTTCCATTTTCATTAGACTTGCTGTTTTTCTGCTTGTCGGGAAAATATGTTCTCTAGATTTCCTCGCTTTTCTTTGTTTTTCGCTTCGTTTGCTTTTTCTTTTTTGTATCACTTGAAACGTTCTTTATACAAATTAATTAATAGAGTTTGTTGTAGTTTATTAATTATTTATCACAATTTGCTGGTTGTTTTATTTTTTATAAAATTATGCTGCTGATTGCTTCAAATTTTTAAATTAACTTGATTTTTTGTTGTTTTGTAGTTGGAAATCACAGCACTTTTGTTGTTGGTTGGTTGTTTGTTTGTTTGTTGTAGTTTATCACTTAGATGGCGTTGGTCCGTTGCATTTGTTTGATGGCAATTATATTTGATTTAATAATTTTCATAAAATTATTGAAAATTTTCGTTTTTTTTTTACAGTTACGAGTACTACAAGTACATTTTAGATGTTGTTTGTAATTTTCTCTTTTTACATAGAATTCTTCGTGAAACAATAATTTGTTTTTTTTTTGTTTTAAGTTTTAAGTCCAACAGTAGAAAATTGAAAATACACGCTATTTTTTGTTGCTGCTGTTTGCTTTGCTCTGCTTTTGCGCTTTCCTTTCTAGCTGCTTTGCCGTTTGCTTACTTTTCTATGTGTGTTTGTCAGCAGTGTTTCGAAGCTACTATGAAGAGCAAACGGTCTGCATCGGCTTTTATAGGCCGGTTCGCTTGCGGCTTCGCTCATTTCCCCCATATCATATGTAATAGTAGTGGTGGTGGTGGTGGTGGTAATTGTCACTGTGTGTGTGCGTATGTTTTGTGCTGAGAGAGCAACAGCAATAACAACAACAGCTGTATGTGTTTGCTGAGCAATTAGCGGTTGTGCTCTCCGCAAAGAGACCGCTACATAAACGTATATACGACGAGTGTGCATGTGTGTGTGTGTGTGTGTGGGTGCTGTATTTGTAGTTGTTGCTGTGCGACAACAGCAGCAGCAGCAGCAGCAGCAGGTAGAAAGAAGTACATATAACAAGAGGGCAAAAACGGCTGATGTAAGTTGGCTGATTTTTTCAGCGACGTCGCGCTCTCTCCCTCTCTTTCTCTCTGTCGCTCGCTTGCTGCTTGCTGTTCGCTGCTCTCTCTGTATGTGACTCTCTCTTCACTCATCAGCTGTTTCACTCAACACTCTTATTTGTTTCGCCTGTTTTGCTCATGCGCACACCTACAACCGGCTCTGTCTTGCTCTGTCAAGTGAGCGAGCGCCTCTGTCTATGTGTGTGTGTGTGTTTGTGTGAGTTTGCAATGCATACGTGACTTTTATGCCGGTTGAGCATGTCACGGCTGCTGCCAGCGCATGCAGCAGCAGCAGCACAGACGTCAGCCCAAAAAGGATGATGGAAATGTTCTCTCGCACTCGCTCTCTCTCTCTCTATCTCTCTCTCTAGCGCTTTCTATCTCTCTCTGTTGCTCGCAAGGAGGTAGCGCACGTACACACATTGAAATTTTCATTTACTGCCAGGCACTCTTCATACACACACACACCCCTCGCCCAATCCTCGCCTCACCTCGCTTTGCCTAGCCACCCGTTGTGAAGCCCGTTTCGTTCCACATTACTGCGCTGCCCGCAGTCGCTACTGCCTGTTTCTGTTGCCCCTTGGAGAACGCACCATGTCAAAATTGAAATTTTCCACTGCACTCGAAACGAAAATCGAAGCCCAGTGGCCAAAATGGGCTGGCTCCGGCCGGGATTGATGCGGATTGCGGATTTAAGCTGACTACGATTCTAACTCTGACTCTGACTCTGAGTGTGTCCCATCCGCTTACAATGTGTGGCTAATGGGCATATCGAGTTGCAAGTTGTTAGCTGCTAGTCGCACGTTGCAAGCAGCAACAGCAGCAGCAGCAGTCTAATTTGTGCTGTTGCCTCATTTCACAATAACTACCCCAGAGATCATATTCTATATAAAATAAGTTAATAAATAAAAATACATATTTATAAAAGGAATATTCTCCACATGTCAACTAATTTTTGTATCTTTGTCAAATGTATCTTTTAATAGCAAAATTATAAAATATAAACTATTAAAACTGTTGAATAAATATTGATGTCTTTCCCTCTAAGTCTAACTTAAATATCTCGATTTTCGACTGATTATATTGTATATGCATACATACATATATATTTATGTACACATTTAATTTGTTAAATTTGAAAGATTTTTTTTTTGTTATTTTGAGAACTTTATAAAATGCATCTGCACTTTATCTACTTATAAACATAAATTTAACTTGCATTTGCAATTTCAATTTATTTCTGTTGATTTTATGAACTGTTTACTATTTCATTATGTACGAAATTGTGCAGATCTTTTGTATTGAAACGTTTACGTTTGCGACACAAAGAAGAATACGACATTGGCTTGACATTGATTGTATAATCAGGCATTCATTGCTGTTCATTACACTCGGTCAGAAAAGTCTTTTGACAAAGCCGCAAAATTATATTTTATTTTTGTATTTCCTTAATAAGAATCGAAATTCTCATTGAACTCGTTGTGCGAATTTGTTGTTGATGATTTCTCGTTGTTTGCTCGAATTTTATTTGCTACTTTTTACTAATTTTCTGTTTATTTGCCACACTGAAAAGGAGTTAATTTTATTGAAAATTATAGTCTTTTCTAAATCGATTCGTATTTGAGTATATTAAACAATTTTCTGATTCCTGGCAATACTTTTTTTGTCTAGTTAAACTAGAACATGTCTGAAAAATGTAAAAAAGACTCTCAAAATCATTAAAATTTGTTAAATCACTTTCTTGACACACCCAAAAAAAGCGAATTATTTTTGATTTGCAATATTTAAAAATGGTTTAAGTCAAAGAATCTAGTTACCATTTCTTATTCAAGCCAAAGAATAAAAATCGACTAATAAAATATATGATTTTTTCACTTTGTCAAAACTCTTTCTTCGCGTGGTGTAAATAAATATTTGTTGAGACAAAAAGTGTCAAATGGTTATGAAATAAGTTGAATCAAGAAGTTTTATGAGCTGTGGGTATATTATTTTGATAAGAAACAAAGAAAAATAATAAAACACACGCAGAATTTATGATTAAACTTCTGGTAAAAATCACGTCATTTCCAATTTAAAGGTTTTCCATGTAACATTAACAATATTTTAATTTTTATATCTGATGTTAAGCCAGATATATATATACATATGTATATATTTGTGTGATATCTGTGTGTGCATGTGTGGATAGATAGAAATCTTCAGCATATTGGAAATTTCATCAGCATTTGAAACTATTTTCTTTTCTGTTCTTTTCTTATTTTATCTTATTTTTTGTTGGAATAATTTTATATATTCATATCATGATTTGAGGCAGTGGAGTCCTTTCATTTCAATTGAATGCATCTGGTAGATTATTGCTGTTGTTGTTGCTGTTGCACGTAGCTTGGAAACGAAAGATTCAAAGATTGAAATGTATCTGAACCTGTTTGCTTTGCCTGTGTGTCTTCCTTTCTGTGCGTGTGTATATGTATGTGTGTGTGTGTGTGTGTTTTATGTGTCCAGCATTTCACATTGAAATGAAATTCTATAGAGTGTGTGTGTGTGTGTGTTTTCTTGTTGTATCTTTTGGCTTATGCTGCTGTCAGATACATTAGCATGTGTGTAGATACATTTGCTTGCCACATAAAATAAAACCAAAGTTTGCCTTTTCATCAATTTCGCAATCGTTGCAAATGTGACGCAGCAGATTTGGCTTCCAATTATATATATATATATATAAATATATATACATGTGTATAGAAATCTAGGTTTATATTAAAAAAAAAGATGAAATAAGCCATAAAAATCAGTTTTTTGCATCAAAAATTCTTGGTAATTTTCAAGTTTTTTCACACACTCAATAAAAAAGTTTTCCAAAAATAAAATCCCCAAAAAATGAAGAAAAAAAAACTTAAACGGATTTTTTTCAGGTGAAAATATATGTAGCAAAAACTTCTCGGAAACAATAAAAAATAGTAAAATACATATATCTATATCTATGTTTTCGTTGAATTGAGGTTTATTTAAATTTTTTATATCTTAACTAACGTGAAAATTGTACAAGAAATAAACAAAGGGCTTTGCAACAATTGATAAATTGATAAGGAAAATGTTTGCAGATGGATATTAATCGAATGTCGATAAGCAAATCACAATTGAAAGCAATTGATTCATAATGAGCCGATAATATATTTTTTTGCTGACGTGTTTAACACACACACACACACAGATAAAGCCATAACCGATAAGCAAAACAAGAACAAAGCAAAACAAAATGCGAAAAACAATTTCACGCTCAAAATGCGATACGCGTGGCGCCATCTAGCGAGCAAAGTTGTTTTCTTCACTCAGCAAAACACAAAAAAAACAGCAAAAAAGTAAACAAAAGTTTTATTTTCGTTTTAATGCTTAACAATTAGTTAAATTACTGTGTATTGGATAGAAAAATATATATACATATATATTTTAAGAATGCATAATTGATTTATGCTCAAATATGCAAAAGTACTTTGAAAACTTCTTTCACACAATTTTTTCTAATTTGAATTTAGGTGGAGCGGTCGACGGTGGGGTGGGGATGTGTATATCCAAATTAGCATAAATAAATATGCATTTATTTATATGTGGCTGATTTCAAATTCGTTTCTTATGCAAACTGCTACAAAATAATTCTTGTCAACTTTTTGAGCTACATTTTTCTCTTACAAACTACTCAAATTGCCCCTTTAAGTGAGATATTTTTCACTCAAGAGCAATTATATTTACATTTTGCTCTTAGCTTTTACTCTTTGAGTGTGGCGCTGGCGCTCTTCATGCCAATTGAGCGCACAGCTGTAAAATGTTGAGCCACAGCTGATGCGACTCAACTTGTGTGCCTTTGCTCTTGACTGTGCAGCTGTTTCGCTCATCATCTGTTTTGCTGGCGCACAGCAGGTATCCCCCACTCTCTCCCTCTCGCTCTTTCTCTTTCTCTCTTTCGCACACACACACACTCATGAAATAGTATATGCATTGATGTATACAGAGCTAAGTTAGCCGCTGCAGCTCTGCCGGCGTCTCTGCTGCTGCTGCTGCTTG